CATCGTGGTCAAACAGCATAATTGTGACTCTTTCAGATAAGAGGTCATATGTTTGAATCTTAGTGAGGTTTTTTTTTTTTTTTTTTTTTTTTTTTTTAATTTTTAATATTTATTTATTTATTTTGAGTTATGGGAATTGTTTAAAAAAAAAAGAAAAAAAAAACTTGTAGTGCATGTTGTGCGCACTGGTATGGTCACTAACTGAGGACCACTTTGACCTTATATTTGAATTCTTCCATTAATGTTGCTCATTATTATTATTATTATTATTATTATTATTATTATTATTATTATTATTATTATTATTATTATTATAGATTTTATAAAGAATGATGATAATATATGTTGTTATTATATATGATATGTCTACTTGTATCAAATACTATTAACTATACTCTTGATAGTATTTAGGGCGTGTTTGATTCGCACATGGGAATTGGAATCGGAATCGGAATCGGAATCGGAATCGGAATGAGTATCAAATACTTGGTAATGGTAATGCGTTTTAGTGAAAGTATTTTGCATGTTTGGTTATGTATGATCCAATAATGGAAATAAAGATTTTAGAAATACAAGAACACAAAATCAAGACAATTGATTCTAATATAAACACATCCAAAACACCAATATGAAAAAAAAAAAATCTAAAAGCACTAATCAAAGGGGTTGAGAAGGAATAAGAGAATGAAAGGGGATGGTACCTTTATTTTATTTGAGTATGAATTTTTCAATTAAGGGGGTATTTGAAACTTATAGTAGTGTTCTAAAAACCTATCAATCAAACAATATCAATCACTTTGATACACATTTCTTAGATCTAAACTTGTCAACCAAACACACCCTTAATGTAAGGGTGTCCTCAATGGGGAGGATCTTGGTGTAGTTTTTGAGGAGTTTTGGAGGTGCTTTTAAGATAGAGAAGTGAGTGAAAAGGGAAAAAAGAAAAAGAAAAATAAAAAACAAAATAAAAAACTGACAAAAACCCCTCCCCAAAACCCTCGCAACCCTGAACAAAACTCACAAATTAGCATGACAAACCCAACCCTCTCTTTCCTCTATATACCTATTTTTTTTTTTAAAATTCTTGTACAAATCCTCTGGTTGAGGATGCTCTAATGAAAAGAGTTCAACCCGATAACTTGGAATAGTTGGTAAATAAATTACACTCCATAATACAAATGAAAGGTTGATGGTTGATTCGAATTGAACATTGTAAATGATGTGTCATGTTACTAATTACGTAAGCAGTTTTGACATGCAGCATGTGGAGGCTGGAGAAGGGCAGGGAGGGGCGTGATGATCAGTCTATGATGCGTGTCAGTACACCCCGCGTGCGCATAAATAGTATTATGTACCTCTACTTTTGCGGGGCCCTCTCCAATCACAACACAACCAAAAAACCCCCCTTCTTTATATCCTCGCTTTAATTTTACCTTTGCCTTTTTAAAGTTGTTCTACAACGAATGGAATTAACCTCCATTACCCCCCCCCCCCCCCCCTACTCTATCACCCTACCATATGCTACACTCCTACCTAAATGCTAAAATTATTCTCCAGAGTCCAGAGAACAACCAACAAGAACATACTATTTGACTTCATATATTATTACTAGTTTTTTATGCACATTGCGAGATTAGGGTAATGTCTAATGTTTTTTTTTTTTTTTTTTTTTTTTTTTTTTTTTAAATAAGTACTTTAAAGTATATTAAGGTAAGATTATATTGGAATTGTTCATGCATAGATAATTGAATGTTGAATTTGCGTATTTAAATATGTAATTTTAAGTTTACAAATGCAAGATACTATAGTCAAGATTGATTATAATTGTCAATATTATAATTGTATTAGTATGATTGAAACCAAATACAAGACATAAGAGAGAGCAAATAAAAATTAGGGCATAAAATATTAAATATATACTAATATTGAAAAGCTAACCGTTGGTTGTCAAACAATGACATTGCGAGGTACTTTCCCACTTCAATTTGTTGTGTGATTTGAATACTGTTTTTGTCAATAATTTTCCCAAGTAGCTAATATGATTGGCTTAATTATATATTTTTTATTTTTTACTTTATTTTTTTTAAAACAATTATTATTATTATTATTATTATTATTATTATTATTATTATTATTATTATTATTATTATTATTAAATACATGTATACCCTTAGATCATTTTACATGTTAATCTAAACAGCTAATTTTTTCAAATATCTTTTTACCAACCGTTGATATAATTCGCTGATCAAATCTGCTAACGTTAACTGCCAAGTGTTGATTATCAAACAAGGACATTGCGATGTAGTTCTCACTTATTTGTTGTGTGATTTGAATACTCTCTTTGTCAACAAATCCCGTAGTTAATATGATTGGCTTTATTAATTATATTTTTTTTATTTTTTCATGGTATTAATAAAATACTTGGTAAATAAATATATAACATTATTTTGTATTATAACTTTGATATTTAATTTAAAAATAGTGTAAAAAAAAAGATAATAGACAATGTAGTGAATATAATCAATTGATGAATTTGAATGTAAAGTATTTTTACATTGGAGAAATATAAAGACAATATAACTAATAAAATTATTTCTCTTAATTAATTTATTGATAATGAATAATTTTTTTTTTAATAAAGACATTGTAGGAACAATGTAGCGAATATAATCAATTGATGAATTTGAATGTAAAGAATTTTTATATTGAAGAAAAATAAAGAAAATATAACTACTGAAATTATTTCTCTTATTTAATTTATTGATAATGAATAAATTTTTTTTTTTTGAATAAAGACATTGTAGACACATAATTCTAAATTAAAGAAATGCATATGTATTATTTTTTGTTGTAGCTACTAAATTATTATTTAATTTAATAAGAGTAAAATATAGTATTAATTATGCCAACTTTGATTTAGATGGGGTTCGAACTTAAGACCTTTCTTATTGAAATCAATGAGTAAATTAACGGTGAACTAACAAAAATTAACGGAAAAGATAATATTTAACGGAAAAGTTAACGGATAATCATATTCATTAAGGATAAATTAGGAAATCTTAAGGAAAAATTAAAATCTGATCAATCTGAGTCATTCATTTGATTAAAAAATTTGACTGCCATTTTTTCTGTCCATTATAGGCCTAACTCTCTTGGGCTCTTATTAGTATATATATATATACTAGTCTTTTACGCGCATTGCGCGATTGAGATAATGCCCAATGTTTTTTTTTTAAAAAATAAGTACTTTAAAGTATATCAAGGCAAGATTATATTGAAATTGTTCATGCACAGATAATTGAATGTTAAATTTGCGTATTTAAATAGGCAATTCTAAGTTTACAAATGCAAGATAATATAGTCAAGATTGATTATAATTGTCAATAAAATAATTGTATAGGTATGGTTGAAACCAAATACGGGACATAAGGGAGAGTAAATAAAAATTAGGGCATAAAATATTAAATATATACTAATATTGAAGAGCTAACTGCTGATTGCCAAACAAGGACATTGCGAGATAGTTTCCCACTTCAATTTGTTGTGTGATTTGAATACTCTTTTTGTCAATAAATTTCCCAAGTAGTTCATATGATTGACTTAATTATATTTTTTTATTTTTTTTATTTTTTTAAAACTATTATTATTATTATTATTATTATTATTATTATTATTATTATTATTATTATTATTATTATTATTATTATTATTATTATTATTATTATTATTATTATTATTATTATTAAATATATGTATACCCTTAAGTCATTTTACATGTTAATCTAAACAGCTAATTTTTTCAAATATCTTTTTATCAATCGTTGATATAATTCGCTGGTCAAATTCGCTAATATAATCCGCTAACGCTAACCGCTAACTGCTGATTGTCAAACAAGGACATTGCAAGGTAGTTCTCACTTCAATTTGTTGTGTGATTTGAATACTCTGATCTCTTTGTCAACAAATCCCTCAAGTAGTTATTATGATTGGCTTTATTAATTATATATATTTTTTAATTTTTTCATGATATTAATAAAATACTTGGTAAATAAATATATAGCATTATTTTGAATTATAACTTTCATATTTAATTAAAAAAATAGTGCACAAAAAAGATAATAGACAATGTAGTGAATATAATCAATTGATGAATTTGAATGTAAAAAATTTTTACATTGGAGAAATGTAAAGACAATATAACTAATAAAATTATTTCTCTTAATTAATTTATTGATAATGAATAATTTTTTTTAATAAAGACATTGTATGGACAATGTAGCGAATATAATCAATTGATGAATTTGAATGTAAAGAATTTTTATATTGGAAAAAATAAATACAATATAACTAACGAAATTATTTCTCTTATTTAATTTATTGATAATGAATAACTTTTTTTGAATAAAGACATTGTAGACACATAATTCTAAATTAAAGAAATGCATATGTATTATTTTTTATTGTAGCTACTAAATTATTATTTAATTTAATAATAGTAAAATAGAGTACTAATTATGCCAACTTTGATTGAGATGAGGTTAGGACCTAAGACCTTTCTTATTGAAATCAATGAGTAAGTTAACGGTGAACTAACAGAAATTAACAGAAAAGATAATATTTAACGGATAATCATATTCATTAAGAATAAATTAGGAAATCTTAAAGGAAAAAATAAAATCTAATCAATCTGAGCCATTCATTTGATTAAAAAATTTAACCGCCATTTTTCTACCCATTATAGGCCTAACTCTCTTGGGCTCTTATTAGTATATATATATATATATATATATATATATATATATATATATATATATATATATATATATATATATATATATATATACTATATAGTTACTTGCCATAGCGTAAATTATATCGAAAGTAAAATGTTTAAGTTTAAATAGAGATTAAGTAGTGATTCTCTCTAGGGTTTTTGCAATTCCTACTAGGGTTTTCCTAGGTTTTCAACGGTGATCGGTTTTCTTTCTGTCCGGACGATGGCCGGAGACGTTGCTATGGATGACGAACTGCTTGGGCGTGAGGAGGACACGACAGCTGTGGATGAACAAAACGGCGGAAGGCGACCGGATGGAGTTGATTTGCGTCAAACGGGAGAAGGGGGACAGTGGATGCGGCGAGCCGGGGGAGGAGTTTTGGCTGGGAAGGAAAACCGAGATAGTGAGGTGTTGCTTGGGGAGAACGTACAACGTGATAGCGGTGAGCGTGGTTGGCCAGGCGCAATGGATGGGGAGGGTGGCAGAATGACATGTGATGTTGTGGGCGGTTTGGGGGGTAAGGGCGGTGAGTGTGGTTGGCCAGGAGCAATGAATGGGGAAGGTGGCAGCAACGCATGTGATGTTGTGGGCGGTTTGGGGGGTAATAGTGGTGGGCGTGGTTGGCCAGGCGAAAGGAATGGGGAAAGTGGTAGAATGGCAGGAGATGTTGTGGGCGGTTTGGATGGAAGGGGGACGGGCAGTAGGGGGGAGCGAGGGAGGGAGGAGGGGAGGGCAGTACGGCAGCCGGGGGCTGGGGCGGGTGTGGCGGAGTTGACGGATAGGTGGGCGGATTGGGCACTGCTAGAGGAGGAGGGTGCGGTGTTTATGCCGGGAGGGGAGGATGACGGGGTTGAGGGAGGCGGGGAAGGTGAGGAGGAGACATGGAGGGTGGTCGGGCGCTTTTTGACGCAAAAGTTAATTAAACTGGATTTTATGAGGCAGGTATTAACGTCAGTTTGGCAGCCGGTCCGTGGGATACAGGTAACGGAGATTCAGAGGGGTTTGTTCTTGTTTGTTTTTTTCGATAAAACAGATTTGGACTATGTTCTGAATGGGGGTCCCTGGGCTTTTGAGAATAATGCACTTGTGTGTCGGGAGGTGTTGGACGAGGTGAATCCTGTGGATGTGGAGCTGGATATGATTGATATGTGGGTACCGCTGCATGACATGCCGAAGGGGTACACATCTCATGCAATTCTCGAATAGGCGGGGAATTTTTTGGGCACTTTTGTTAAGCATGATGAGAGATTTGAAGGAGCACCATGGTTAACCTTCCATCGTACAATTTCGGTTGATAGGCCGCTTAGGATAAGGATGAGGTTAATGAAGAGAGATGGGACTACAACATGGGTTAATTTCAGGGAGGCGGGAATTCCAGTGGAAAGGTACTTGTACGGTCCGGATATGCGGGTTGGTGGGTCCCGGAGCGCTCCTAGAGCGGTTGGGGATAGCTGGCTCGTGCCGGAAGGCGGGAAGCCACGTCCATTGGTAGTAAAGCAAAGGTTGGTTGGGGCAGTAGACGGGGGTCGGGGAGGTGGGGGAGTCACACCCACGAGTATGTCTGAGGATGAGGTGGTGGTGGCTACGGTAAAGCGTCGTAGGCATGGGACAGAGATTGGAGAGGATGGTGGGAATGATGATATAACAATCACTGATGGTTCAAAAAACTTGTCCATGGCAGGAGCTGGTGTCCAGCCCCGCCCAGCATCATGAGTACGATAAGCTGGAACTGTCGTGGCTTGGGCAATCCACGCACAGTTCGAGAAGTAGTGGACCTAGTGTCCCGTAAGAAGCCAGAGTTTGTGTTTTTGATGGAAACCAAGGTGGCACGGAGTCATGCGGAGAGAGTCCGTGTCAGGCTTGGTTATGAGGGGTTGTTTTATGTGAATAATGAAGGCTTGAGTGAGAGTATGGCGCTCCTTTGGAAGAAGAACAACACGGCTAGGTTGTTGAGTTACTCGTTCAACCACATTGATATTGAGGTTAGTATGAATGGAAAGTTATAGCGTATGACATGTTTATATGGGTGTTCGGATCGAAGTAGAAGAGAGGAAACCTGGGAGCTACTGTGTATGTTGAGGGGTAGATCTAGATTACCCTGGGTGGTGATAGGGGATTTTAATAATCTTCTCTATCAACATGAAAAGAGGGGGGGAAATCCATACACGAATAGCCTCTTACGAGGGTTTGGGGAAACCATTGATGCGTGTGGTTTGATACAGATGCCGATGCGGGGCCGCCAGTTCACATCGGATAAGAGTAAAGGCACGGTGAATTGGATACAGGAGAGGCTTGATAAGGTGCTTATTACGGAAGAGTGGGGTGGTATGAATGATAATGCATGGGTGGAGAATCTGCAGACTAGAGAATCAGATCACTCGGCTCTGTTTCTTAATATGAATGCTCTCAGTACGCGTAGAGTAAGAGGACCGAGGAGGTTTAGATTTGAAAATGCATGGTTATTGGATGAGGGGTGCAAGGAGGTGGTGGAGACAGCCTGGCAGGAGGGGAGGCCGGAGGGCTTGTTGCACTGTCAGCAGTTTTGTGGTATAAAGTTGATGCGATGGGGGGTGACCAATTCCATAAATTTGGTCACCGAATAGGGCAGTTGCAGAAGCGGCAAGAGAAGTTCTGTGATGTAACGAATCCGGCCGCATTGGCCGAATTCCAGCAGAATGAGTATCAGTTAAAGCAATTGGAGGCCCAGGAGGATGTATTTTGGAGGCAATTGGAGGCCCAGGAGGATGTATTTTGGAGGCAATTGGAGGCCCAGGAGGATGTATTTTGGAGGCAGCAGGCGAAACAACACTGGCTGCGGGGTGCAGATGCTAACACCAAGTTCTATCACAGGTATGCTTCTGCCCGTAGAAAGAAGAATTTTATTGCTAGTATTAAGAATGAGGGTGGGGATTGGGTGGAGGATACAAATATGCATTCGGTGATTCTGGATTATTTTAAGAGCATATTTGCTTCTGATAATTTGAGCTGTGATGATCCCCTTTTTATTGATTTTGCCCCCCGTGTGTCGAATGAGAATAATGAGATGTTGAATCAGCCTTTTTCGGTAGAAGAGGTAAAAACAACACTTTTTTCTATGTTCCCGGATAAAGCACCAGGCCCGGATGAAATGAATCCGGGTTTCTATCAGCATTTTTGGTCTATTGTGGGGGATGATGTGTCTGATTTTATATTGCATGCTTTGAACTCTGGGGTATTTCCAGAAGGGCTAAACGATACGAATATAGTATTGATTCCTAAAAAAGAGGTCCCAGAGACTGTTGCAGATTTGAGACCAATTGCGTTAAGCAATGTCATATATAGGATAATGGCAAAAATGATGGCAAACAGAATGAAAGTTTTGATGGAGGATATTATCTCGGAATCCCAAAGTGCTTTTATTCCTGACAGGTTAATTACAGATAATATCTTGGTGGTAGCTGAGGTGGGTCACTACTTGAACAGGAAGCAGTGTGGTGTAGTAGGCTGGAGTGCACTGAAATTGGACATGTCAAAAGCATACGATAGAATGGAACGGGGTTTTCTGGAAAAAATGTTGATGGTGCTGGGTTTTAGTGATAGATGGATTAAGCTAATAATGATGTGTGTGACAACAGTGAGCTATACTGTAATGGTGAATGGGGAGGTGGGGGGACGGGTCAAACCGACTCGTGGACTCAGACAGGGAGATCCTCTTTCTCCTTATTTATTCATTATCTGTGCTGAGGCACTTTCGATGTTGTTGCAGAAGGAACAGATGGCAGGATCTATACATGGATGTAGAGTGGCCAAGGGTGCTCCCCCAGTGTCTCATTTATTCTTTGCGGATGACAGCCTGCTTTTCTTTAGAGCAAATATTCATGAGGCTATGGTGATTAAAGATTGTTTGATGAGGTATGAGAAACTATCTGGACAGGTGGTGAATTATAACAAGTCAAACATATGTTTTAGCCGAAATACCCACCACATAGTCAGAACGTAGGTGGCAGACTATCTTGCGGTAGTGTAGGCAAGTAATTTTGGGAAATATCTGGGCCTCCCATCGTTTGTGGGCAGAAATAAAAGAGCAGTTTTTTCCTATGTGGAGGGAAAGATCAGGCAGAGGATTGGATCGTGGAGCACAAAGTTATTATCTCAGGCTGGTAAGGAAGTTTTATTGAAAAGTGTGGCTCAATCTATGCCAACTTTTTCAATGAGTGTTTTTTTATTGCCTGAAACAGTTTGTCAATCCATTGAGAGAGCAATGAATAGATACTGGTGGGGAAGTGGCAGGGATAAGGGGATTCACTGGAAGGCATGGGATAAGTTATGTATCCCCAGGTGGTTTGGGTTTCAAGGAATTGAGGGCTTCTAATCTAGCTATGCTGGGCAAGCAGGCATGGCGTTTTTTTGACAAACCTAGAGTCTCTGGTGGCAAGAATATATAAAGCCAGGTATTACCCCACTTCTAGTTTTGTTGATGCTACTATTGGTAATTGCTCAAGTTTTTGTTGGAGAAGTATAATGGCAGCACATCCAATAGTGGTAGCTGGGATAAGACGCAAGATTGGAAATGGTGAGACAACTCTAATTTGGGGACACCCATGGCTGCAGGATAATCCAAGTCCCTTGGTACAAACAATTATGCCTGAGGAGTTAAGAGAAGCAAGAGTAGCAGGTTTGATTGACCCACAAACACAAACATGGGATCCACATATTTTATCTGATTTATTTATCCCTGAGGATGTGAGCAGAATAGTTATGATTCCTGTTAGCCCTGATTATGATGACTCATGGTACTGGATAGGTGACCCAAAAGGAATTTATTCAGTAAAGAATGCCTACAGGCGTATTGTTGGTGATTATGAGAATAACCCAGGTGATTTTGATAAATGGGTTAAGATGTGGAAATTGAAAGTACCACCAAAATGGAAGACCGTTTTATGGAGAGCAGTAAATGATATTTTACCCACTACCACGAATCTAATTAATAAGAGGGTGGAGATTGACCCGACATGTCCTATGTGCAGATTTAATAATGAAGATGTGTTGCATGCATTAGTTTATTGTGAATATTCTACATTAGTTTGGAATATAACACAATTACCTATCATGAATATTATTACAGATTCGTTTGCGGCATGGTCAACTGGGGCTATGACGATTCTAACCGAGGAACAAACACAGCTTTTGGTGGGAGTTCTATACAATATTTGGAGGAGCCGCAATGCAGCCGTGTGGGAAGGGGCCATGTCACGGCCGCGGGCTGTTGTGAAAGGGGCGGCAACATTGCTGAAAGCCTATGGTGCGGTACACGGCCGTTCCACGCGAGAAGATGTACAGCCACATGTCGAACCAGTGTTGTCCAACAATCATATGCGATGCATATAGATGCGGGGTATCGGCAGGAAACCGGGGAGGCTATGTATGGAATTGTGTTATTAGAGCCCGGGGGCTCGTTTGTGGCAGCTAAGAATGGCAAATCACCCGTTTGTTTCTCACCACTCATGGCGGAGGCTATGGCTTTTAAAGAGGCATTGTCCTGGTTAGTTGAAAGGAGCATTAATTCGGCCAATCTCCTCACGGATTGTATGGTTCTGCGATCCACCATACATCACCAAGTTACACCCATTCACTCGTATGCTGGGTTAATAATAGACCAGTGCAAGACAATGATGTCTTTATTTAATTTTATTTTGATAAGCTATGTGCCTAGACAGATTAATTTACATGCTCATACTTTAGCTTCGTTAGCTTTTACTCAGGAACATTCTATGTATTGGGATTCTACCCCTCCTGACGCTATTATAGCTTTCATCAATTAATACAATAGACAGGTTGATTTTTCAAAAAAAAAAAAAGTAGTGATTCTTATAACTTCAATTCATCCTATCAAAAAATAATGTAACTTGAATTCCTATTTTATTCTACCTTATTCTTTTCACATGAAATTACAATTTCTACATTCTAATTTTATCATCCCAACCAAACACCCTACAAGAGATGATTTTATATGCAAGAGGGCAGTTTTATTTACACTAAATATTGTTATCATGTCATGATAACAAGTAACAAGTGGAATTGATGAGACAAGTTCTACAAGATAAATATCGCCAGTTGTTGAGACATCTATGATAGTGATCTAGCCTTAAAGCATAACATGCGTAAATTGGCATACTCTATCCTCTGATCTTTAATGTAAGTGGCCGGGCCGGAGGAGTGAATTTCTT